TTCAATCTCTGAACCTCTTGAGCTCTTACATATTGATCTCTACGGTCCCTCTACTGTAGCTAGTCTCCATTACAAGAAATACATACTGGTTACAGTGGATGACTTCGCTCGTTTCAGATGGGTCTTCTTCTTGAGACTCAAATCTGAAACATCGCAATCCCTGATCAATTTCATCAGGGGGATTGAACTGCAGATCAAACTACTAGTACGACGCATACGAAGTGACAATGGAACCGTGTTCACTAGTCATCCCTTGAATAATTTCTTGGTTTCAAAGGGTATCGGTCACAATTTCTCAGCTCCTTACACACCACAACAGAATGGGGTAGTGGAGCGAAGAAATCGAACTCTGGTAGAAGCAGCCAGATCTATGCTCAACTTCGCAAACCTTACTCTCTACTTTTGGGCTGAAGCAGTGGCTACAACATGCTTTGTTTAAAACCGAAGCATTGTGTGCAAGCATCTCAGCAAAACTCCATATGAGGTCCTTAACAACCGCAATCTGAATGACCGTTTCTTCCACATCTTTGGTTGTAGATGTTTTGTGACCAACAACAAGGATCATTTGAACAAGTTTGCACCGAAGTCATATGAAGGAATTTTCCTTGGTTACTCAACAAACAAAGTAGCCTATAGGGTTTTCATAAGACGCACAAGACTAATAGTCAAAAGCTTTGACGTCAAAATCAATGAGTATTACGTCTGCAACACTGCTCCATCAAATGAAACTAAAGCAATCCTAGAAAATGATATCCCATCTTCTTCGGGTCCTCTTAACATAGTTGAAATAAACTATGATGATCTTTTTGACCCAGTAGAGACAGCTCAACTATCCAAAGTTCCCGTGTCTCCGGAAGCTCAACAACAACATGCCCAAGTTTCTGGTCCTACTCTATCCAATGAAGTGCCACTCAATACTTCCACTCTACCAATTGAAGGAGAAAGCTCAACTCCGGATCAGGTGACAACCATCGAAGTGCCAGTTCTTAAGGATGTATCTCCGGTCCCTCCCCGCAGATGATCTCTACCTTCGAATGTATCCTCAGACTCAGACGATGACAACTTTGAGACCATTGACACAAGAACCGATCCAAGGGTTATCACTCTCTCAACAATCCAGAGGGAACCATCTCAGGTTCAAGGGTAACTCCCATCCGCAATCCAGGGGGAACCTCTCTCAACTGCTCAAGAAAATGCTGACCTAACTCCCTTAGTTCAAGACAATTCTGCAGGCTGTTCTCAAGTCCAGGGGGAACTACAGTCCCCAACCGAATAATCCTACGATATAGAAGACATTCCTTCCACTGCAGTTGTTGATCATCTGCAACCTCGTCCTCATGTATGGACAAAGGATCACCCACCGGGTCAAATCATCGGAAACCCATTCGCAGGTATCCAAACTCGATCCTCAAAAGACTTATCTGATCATTGTACCTATGCAGTGTTCATATCCTCAGTCGAGCCCCAAAACATCAAAGAATCCTTATTGGAACCTGACTGGATATCTGCAATGCAAGATGAACTGGCAGAATTTGAAAGAAACAAAGTGTGGTAACTCGTTCCAAAGCCAAAAGCTCACACTATTGTTGGTACAAAATGGGTATACAATAATAAATTGGATGAATCAGGTACGGTCATCAGAAACAAAGTGAGACTAGTCGCTAAGGGGTATAGTCAACTTAAAGGTGTTGATTATGATGAAACATACGCTCTTGTAGCCAGAATGGAAGCCATATGCATCTTTTTAGCATATGCAACTCACAAGAACATTAAGTTACATCAAATGGATGTAAAGAGTGCCTTCTTAAATGGTGAATTGAAAGATGAGGTATATCTTCAACAACCTCCGGGCTTCAAAAAAGACTTGAATTCCCAGATCATTACTACAAGCTTAAGAAAGCGGTTTATGGTCTAAAGCAAGCTCCAAGAGCTTGGTACGAGACTCTCTCAGAATTTCTTGTCTCATCCGGTTACAAAAGAAGAGTGATTGATCCCACTTTATTGAGAAAAGAGAATGGTAATCACCTTATGCTTGTACAAATATATGTGGATGATATTATCTTCGGATCAACAGATCAAAGGATGGTGGATGATTTTGCAAAGCTCATGACCAACAAATTCCGAATGAGCATTAATAGAGAGATTAATTTCTTTTTAGGACTTCAAGTAAAACAAGTTCCGCAAGGAATATTCATCCATCAGGAGAAATACACCTCTGAACTGTTGAAGAAATACTCAATGGATAACTGTTCCTCAACCAAGGTTCCTATGGCCTTTGGGGTATAAGATTTCTGTTGATCCTTCTGGAGAATCAGTAGACCACAAAACTTATCAAGGAATGATTGGTTCATTGATGTACCTCACCACAAGCCGACCAGACATCATCTTTGCAACAGACGTATGCACAAGATACCAAGCTGATCCAAAAGTGTCTCACAAGACCGCAGTTAAACAAATTCTCAGATACTTAAAGGGCAGTAAGGCTCACGGCCTCTGGTATCCCGCATGGAACGACCTCAGCCTTCAAGCATTCACTAATGCGGATCATGCTGGATGTATATTAGATAGAAAAGCACTTACAGTGGATGTCAATTTCTGGGTGGAAGAATCGTCAGCTGGTCATCAAGAAAGCAAAGTTGTGTTTCATTGTCTACCGCAAAAGTTGAATATGTGGCCGCAGTCAGCTGTTGTTCACAAGTGTTGTGGAAGAAAATGCAACTTATGGACTACAGATACATAATGTTGTGGATACCAATTTACTGTGATTCAGAGAGTGCTATATCGATCTCCCACAATCCTATTCATCACTCCAAGACAAATCATATTGAACCACGATATCACTTCATTAAAGACCACATTCTGAAATGTAACGTTGAACTCATTTTTATTAACTATAATGAAGAGTTTTCTGATGTATTCACAAAGGCACTTGACTCGACAAAACACAACCGTTTTCTGAAAATGTTAGGGATGATGAATCCGAATCCAAAATTCTTTTTGAATTAATAGGTACCGCAGACCATCTCTGATCTCCGTTGCGGTGTTGAGCTTTCTCCTTCAATTGGTAGAGTGGAAGTATTGAGTGACACTTCATCGGATAGAGTAAGACTAGGAACTTCGGCATATTGCTACTCAACTATGTGAAGTTCCTGTGTCTCCAGAAGCTCAACAACAACATGCTGAATTTTTTGGTCCTACTTTATCCGATGAAGTGTCACTCAGTACTTCCACTGTCCTATCATCTACTGCAATGATGAACCCATCCACAATGAAGTCTTAATCCGAAATGAATGATCCCTCCGTAGTCACATTGAATGAACCTTCAACTACTTAATGATACTTCATTAAATAAAAACATTCTCTTAAAAAAACATTTGGTGTGTAACACATCACTCTTTCAATTCTTCTTTTTCAAATAGTTCTTTTTGTCAGACCTATTTTAGGTGTGATATCAAAAGAAATCTTTTTTCTTAAATTGTCTCATAAAAGAATTTTTTTTCTTAAATTATCCCATAAAAGAAATCTTATTTCTTAAACTGTCATATCCCCCTTTATTTAACGGACTATCGCCCCTCACCACACGTTCTTCAGACGTGTGATAGTGGGACTAACATTTCATTAAATGCCACCCTTTTTGAAAATCCAAAAATAAACTATAGAAAAAAAACTTTTCATTAATGATTTTTGTGGCTGATATGACTATTTGAAAACTAAAAGGTTTTATCTTTAACCACTTTCATTAGGGTACTAACAATAATTTTTGAGATCCGCCACTATATAAATTTCTTTTTCCTCCCAAAGGAAGTTTTACGCTTTCTGACTTCTCTTGACGAACTTCATATTCTTCACCCTCTTGCACTCAAAGTTTTTTCTGTAAGTTCTTCAAATCTTTTGAAAATGGTAAAATCAGAAATTTCAAGGAAGCAATCAAAGGCTTATGCATCAGTTCAACCTGTTGGTTCTGATTCTGCAACGAGAAACCAGTCGCCTTCAATTGCATCTAGCAATTTTAGGGCTGTCTTCGATGATCATTCTTCTTACAATGACTCCATCCGTCTTATGATAAAGTTCATCTCCAATCACCCATTGTCTGGACCTTTCGACTCATTCACAGATGTGGTTCTAATTTCCACATTGTTCAAATGTTCTTTTTCGACGTACTGACCCCTCAACAACCTTCAAGAAGTTCATCTAAACTTAGTGGATGATTCCTTGGTCATCGTGACCAAATACAAGTTTCTCATTGCAATTAACATGTTGGTGCATCCTTCTACCAAATGCTTTTCACCAAGAGTGGTAGATATCACCTCTACTCTCTACCATATGAGATACCAAAAAAATTTCAAGGGTATCGACGAGTTTAAGAAGAACCAGCTCCTTGCGGTCTGGCAGTTTGTTTGCCATTTCGTGATCCGCAGTTTATAAGAAAGAACCGGAGGCACTGACAACATGGGCCTCAAATTACTGGAGTTAGTATGGAGCATATTCACTGGTCACGATGTCAACTACCACCAAATTATGTGGGGTGATTTTCTTCAATACATCCCTAAGGAGCATCCAAAAGAAAACCCTACAGAGCTCACGTTTGCAAGGATTTGGTGTCTCTGCATTTCAGACCTCCATCACAATACCAAGATCAGCATGGGCAACAATGTCAACCTCTTTGTTACTCGTAATCTTAAAAGGTACGCACCATCTAAAGATCAATCTATCTTTGGACCAATTAGACGCTTACCCATTCACATCCTGACTACTGTTGGACTTGAGACCAAAGAAGTCACGGATCATATAGAGGCTACGAAAGGTATAGACCCATAACTTCTTACCCCGCCTCTGGCCAGTCAGAATATATTAGCCTCAACAACACCCATCAATCCAGAACATACCGTTACTCCATCTTCTACCACTCAATCGAATCTTCCTTTAGCTAAAAGACTTAAGATGCTGGTTTCATTCAAGAAAGGCCCCCGAAGTAAGGCCAAGAAAAGTGATACATCCAAATGGTGGCAAAGTACTGGGAGTACGCGATCAACAATGCTAACACTATAGCCACCATTCTCAAAGTCCAGAACTGGATGACCGAAATGGCTGCGACCATCCACAACACTCAGTCCATTCAAGATACTGCAGGTCCATCCAAGCTCCCCCCAACACATGTTACTCAAGATTCCCAAGATGATGGAACTACAATCGAGGTCAGTTCCGCAAAATCATTTGGATTTGATGACATTGACCTCCACGAGGTCAACCAACCTGACCCTTCGGATGATGTGATGATAATCTTTGAAGAAGAATAATAAAGTGGATCCTAACATTCTACTTCCAAACCCAAAGAGAAGAAGAATAATAATAAAATGGTCGTATCTTGCAAAGAATTTTTGAGCTTACAAGCCAACGTTGATCAAATTTTGGCCGCTGTGAAGTCCACTCCACCGCAAGACGCTCCCGGTCCGTACACCCTGATAAAACGTATTGAACGTCCTGAAGCCAATGAACGACTAGCTGCTGAGAAAATCTCTCTCAAGGTCGAGATGGGTATTTGAGCCCTGGATACAAGAAGGAAGGTTGATCATGCACAATTCATTACTATTGCGGAGAAACTCATCACAGAGGTATCCATCATCAAGAATGACCTCCTTTCAGCCATCGTGGGCCAAACTGCTCATTCAAAGAAGCTTGTTGAGAAAAATCACAATGCTTATGATTCTGTTATTTTTGTTCTTCAGTCAACAATCAACAACCTCCGATGGTCCTTATCTTCCAATGCTTATGACCAAGATATTCTGAAGTTAATCAAGGAGATCCACCAAATGCTCTTCAACATCTCAATCCCCAAAAATCAACAGCTTGCTGATGCACTCTAAGCTCAATTCATTGACGTCTATGCAAAAATAGATGGTCTTCAGCAATGGCTTGAGGAAGCCCCAGGTGTTCCTTCCTCAAGAGGGGGAAGTGAAGACCATGATTCAGACCACATTTCCCACCAACATTCACATCAACACTTAAAATCTCCCATTCAAATCAATCCCGATCATCAGCAACCCATAATACATGACAAAGTTCCCACTCCGCAACCATCTCCCAAACAAAATACTCCTATGCCTTCTCCTCATCGATCTCCACCGCAACACTAAGAAACAGTTCAAGATGTTCAACCTCCCATTTCCTCACATCCGGAGACACCCCACATCTCAAAACTTTAGCCTCTCATATGTCATCTGAAAACTCCCTCGACTCTCCCGCAACCAAACAAAAGAAACCGACTGGAAATCAGCTAAGTTTTCTGAGTTTATTTGGAGGGAACACGACTTTGACATCATAATGGATGAATCCCTCATCAACTCATGGATCAACCCTATTCGAAGATTACAAGATGACGATTACAAACCATATATCACCTTCGCGGAACCCCCTCCTAATGGCTATTAGGACATTCTCATTTCTCCCAATGCAAAATACTTCACAGTCTTCGAAACTTTTGACCAAAGCATCCCCGATGATTAGAGGTTGCCACTGGAATTTGAAAGACTTAACAGATTTCATGCCAAGCATGGATCTGAAATTGAAAAGATCTGGTCAAATGGCAAACCATCCGCGGTGAAGAACTACAAGCCCAGGAAGTTTTTTGATGACATTGACCTCCATGAGGTCAACCAACCTGACCCTTCGCAGTGAAGTACCGCAACCGCATCCATCGTCATCAGTTCTTAGTTTTTGTTTTTTTATCTGTTTTATTAGAATACTTTCTTTTGTCCGGTGTGCCTTGCATGGCCACAGTAGAACATACAGAACTTGTAATCTTTGAGACTCTATAAATAGAGCTCTCTTGTCGAATGGATTTCACGAATCTTGAATCTCACATCTCATTTTACTCACTTCTTACTCTCTAATTTTTATATATCTTCTAAACTTAACTGATTGCAATCTCTCTTCGAAGCAAGTCATTATTGACTTCATCACTAAGTTTGATCTCACTTACAAACTTGGATTGACTGCAATTCTCATTAAGAATCAACTTAAGTGTATGCTTGATATAATACTTGTTGTCATTTATATTTCCTTATATTTCCGCACCTAACTATCGATTTATCTAACTATCTAATCGCTAACTTATTATTGTTGAGCTTTATGATCCTCTAAGTTAAACTTTATTCCGCAACATTACTTGTACTAATGTTTGTTCCAGTGTGTTACTCAAGTTTTTCTCTCAACATGGCTTTATTTTTTTAGTTAGCACGGGGATTTTCCGGTCCAACATCTCGAGAATTTATCTAACTTTTCAGCAGTTGAGGTGAGTTTCCTCACTAGATCCATGGGTCGAAGGCACCAATACCAACCCATTGCTTGTTGTGTAGAATGTTTGATATCTTTTGATAATTATATGAAATACGAGGATCTGGCTCCTGACAGTTGTATGAAAGACCAAAATTTAGCCCCTGACAATTATCTGAAAGACCAGGATCCGGCCTGTGGCACTTGTATGCAAGACCAAGATTTGACCCTCGACACTGAACGAAAGACTATGATTTGGCCCATATCATTTATTTTCCTTTATTTGTAGTATGTGGTACTTGAGGAAACTCACTAAGTTTTATGCTTACAGTTTATGTTTATGGTTTCAGGTACTTCCAGTTCAAAAGGGAAGGGTCTGACGTGATGATACAACACTTTCCCCTTATGATTTCCGCACTTGATATATTTGTACTATGATGTTTCGAATATTGTAACGATTGATGGCTTTTGGTACAATCAATGAATGAAATTAATAGTTTTAAATGAAAAACATTTATTACTGTTTTTAGGTCGTTACAAATTTTTTTCATTGCTTAATTATGAATAATTACAATTCAGCCATTGCACCTTTAACTAATTTCTGTTAACCACAAATCAATTTAAAATTAATTCTAATTAATAATTAATTAATTCTAATTATTTCTAATTAATTTATTAATCATATAATATAATAACAAATCATTTTTCTCTTTCCTAAAATCATTTCTAGTTATTGAGGGCTACCCAAAAAGGATTTCACTTTTATTCCTTAAAGTTATACCAATTTAGTTTTGACTTTGACCAATTTATTTATGAATTTGGATACCTATTCCAACATAATCAACTACCAATACACTATCTAGATAAATTAGCATAAATAAATCATTTGTTGAGTAGATTGTCCAACATACATCATTTATACACCGCGACTGTTTACAATAACAACTATAAGACCAACAACTGCCAATAAATGAACAAACAAAAGACGTAACCATAGACCAACAAAGAGTCTTTCCTAATCGAACGACGTGTAAATAAATGACCCCTTACCACGGGCTATATTTTTTGCAAATAGCTCCGAATTAGACATGACATATGACATTGAAATGCAGTGTTTTCAACAACTCAACAAAATTCTTCTTAAATTATATAGAATATAGATAGATGCATTAGATTGGAAGTAGAACTTGATTAAGACATAAACTAAAGATGGTCGATCTACTTTGACATGGAGAAAGAAAGAGAAGCTATAATAGGACTGACGAAGGGAACAAAAAGATATTGATGTAAAAAGAATACACGTAAGGGTTTTGGTGTGTTGGCAATTCCAAGTAGCTATAAAAAGATCGACTGAACAGTTAACCAATAAAAATGTGTTTTCATATAAATGAAACCACTTATATTTAAAATAACAAAAACACAAATTATAAATGGAACAACATAAAAATATAAGGTATTTATTAAGTGGCAAAACTTATCAAGACAAATTTTGATATCTAAGGGAACAAATGTGAAATCTGATTACAAGGGGATTAAAACCTTTTATAAAATAAAATTAACTTTGTATTATGTTTAAAATAGTTCCATAAACCTCCCTGGAACAAATGCTGAAACGTGAAAGGACTAAAAATGAAACTTCAGACATAATTTAAGGACTATTTCCTTAAATAGTAAACAACCTGCACACCACCACATGTCACGGAGATGTTTAATTCAAAATTTGACCAAATCAAGAAGCTCGCTGACTCCTGCATTACATACTTCAAACTCTTGTCTTTAAAATTCAAAAATCCAATTATACTTTTCCTCACCGATTGAATCCAATCCCCACCGTTGAAATCCCAAAATTTCGATTCCACGGTGGCCTACCTTCAATCTCTCTGCTAATTGAATCAGCTCAAAAGCACTTGTTGTAGAGAGAGAAAGAGTTTCAGTTGTGTATTTGGGGCAAAGAATTTCAAGAATATCATCAAAGAAGTCTCTGATCGGAAGGGCTTTGAGTGTTTGTTATCACTATGAATGCAGTGGGAAGACACGGGCAAAGATCCGGTTCATCCGGAGCTCATCATCAGCGTCAGTACTCTGATAACTTCTTGGAGGTGACTTCTTCCTCATCTAATGGCCGATGGCTTCAATCTGCTGGTCTACAACACCTCCAACAGCCATCCTCCAACACTTCTTCTGTATGTGTATTATTCAATTCCGTGACGTTTATCATGTTCGTTTAGTTTCGAATGATAGATCTGGTGGTAGGTTTGGCTTATGAATTTGATTTGGTAATTAATTCAGCAGGACTTTGGCTACTATGGTGGTGGTGGAGGAGGCCAAGGTTCAAGAATGTATAACAATAACAGGAATATTGGTACACAGAGGTCACTAAGCGGAGGGTCTGATTTGTTTGCAGAGCCGTTGACGCCGCCGGGACGTCAGAAAAAACACGGTGGTGCTGTTGATGACCCCAATGGCTTCAGTCCTGGCCTTTTAGATCTACATTCCTTCGATACCGAGCTTATCTCCGAGGTGCGTTTTGTGGCCTTGTTGGATAAGTCATCGTGTTTATGGATTTAACTACTACTCAATTTTAGTGATATTTATCTTTGATGCTAAGATTATACATGAGGTGTGATTTGATCGCCATTTTAACCATAAAGATCATTTGCTTTCATACACGACAGGTTCCTGTAGCTCCAATGTACAACTCTACCCGTGATAGAAGCTTTGATGATGCAGAGCCATATTTTGGGAATAGCAAACAGCCCAGTAAAGCTCGAGGTTTACCTGATAACAACCTTTTGAAGAATTTTGCTCCAGAAAAGGAGAAGGCGAGCACTGTTGCAAAGATCAAAGTTGTGGTATGTCAATCCAATTCCAACAGCTAATTGAGAGTAATTTCTGTCCAATTCTGATGTTATCTAAATGGTTGATTCCTTGAACTTCATATAAAGCACCAGTTATTGCTAAAAAAGGTATAATGGGGATGAAATTTCAGGTGCGCAAGAGACCCTTGAACAAAAAGGAGTTAGCAAAAAATGAGGAAGATATCATTACCACAGACACCCATTCAAATTGCCTTACAGTTCATGAAACAAAACTCAAGGTTAGCACCCGAATAGTATTATACTTTTGTTTAATAGCATTGTAATTTCATTTTTTCCCCTTATATGCTACTATTGTGAGTCTGAATCTCTCTGTCATGCAGGTTGATCTGACAGAATACATGGAGAAGCATGAATTTGTTTTTGATGCAGTACTAAATGAAGAAGTTTCTAACGATGAGGTTAGTACATTATATAGAGATCCAATTTTCTTTTTTTTGCATATAAATGTTATTAAAACAAAGACTAACTCTGTAATAATTCATTCTCTTTTCCTCTCTTCATAGGTTTATCATGAAACCGTTGAGCCCATTGTTCCAATAATTTTCCAACGTACCAAAGCTACATGCTTTGCATATGGACAAACAGGTACTTGAAAAATTAAACTTTAGCATTCTCTTTGGGTAGGACAAAAAAATTGCAACTTTTGTCCCATTGACATCAAACTAAATCACAATCCAATGCATGTACAACATGTTTTGTTTTAACATGCTTACCTTTTTGTTTTGATGTGCAGGAAGTGGGAAGACTTTTACAATGAAACCATTACCTCTTAAAGCATCTAGGGATATTTTGAGGCTTGTAAACCATACCTATCGAAGCCAAGGTTTTCATTTGTATTTCAGCTTCTTTGAAATATACGGTGGGAAACTCTATGATCTCCTCAACGATAGGAAGTAAGTTTCTTTTTCACTCAATGGAAAGTCAAGGAAAGAAGGCTAACTTTTTTTTTTTTTTTTTTTTTTTTTACTTTTGCAGAAAACTATGCATGAGAGAGGATGGAAAACAGCAAGTATGCATTGTGGGATTGCAAGAATATAGAGTTTCAGATGTGGAAACAATCAAGGAGCTGATTGAGAGAGGGAATGCAACAAGAAGCACTGGCACAACTGGTGCCAATGAAGAATCTTCAAGATCACATGCCATTCTTCAACTTGTTATCAAGAGATCTGTTGATGGAAGTGAATCTAAGCCTCCACGAGTTGTTGGCAAACTCTCCTTCATAGATCTTGCTGGAAGTGAACGTGGTGCAGATACTACAGATAATGATAAGCAGACGAGGTAATAAAAAATTGGTGTTAAGTTTAATTTGTTTAAGAAGCATATATATATATTTATATAATGTGGGATTTGAATTATCTGGTTGCAGAATGGAAGGTGCTGAGATTAATAAAAGCTTGCTTGCATTGAAGGAATGCATAAGAGCTCTTGACAATGATCAGGGTCATATCCCTTTTCGAGGCAGTAAATTAACTGAAGTTTTAAGAGATTCATTTGTTGGAAACTCTCGAACTGTTATGATATCTTGCATTTCACCAAATGCTGGATCATGTGAACATACACTCAATACCCTACGATATGCTGACAGGTAACTACAGTTACTAAATGACCGATTTACCCTTACATTCCAAAAAACAAATATGTCGAGAGAGCAGTTGGTAATGTTACTGAATGACAGGGTGAAAAGCCTGTCGAAAGGGAACAAAAAGGAGACAATAGCTTCGAGTATAAACGTGAAAGAATCGACAACAGTGTCAATGACATCTTTACCCCCGGTGTCGTCATATGAAGATGATGAAGATGATTATGATACTACTGAAGAGTTGTATGAAGCAGCAGAACAAGTGCAACAGTCTTCATGGAAGAATAATAACACAAAAGCTGAAGCTTATAGCAGCTTTGATAAGAACAGGAGAGTCAATGGTATTGGTCAGACAAAATTAAAGGAGCCACAGCCACCTCCACTCAAATCTGAATCAAGAAACTGGAGCCCTGATGATGAGTTGAATGCTCTTTTAAAGGTATGTGGATCATTTACTTGTTTATGAGTTATGGCATTCTTGATTGAATATTAATATTATATTCACAAAAAGTTAACATGAAAAAATTGTATTTTGATATCAGGAAGAGGAAGACCTTGTTAATGCTCACCGGAAACAAGTGGAGGATACCATGGATATTGTTAGAGTGGTATGCTCGTAGATATTAAATATTAATTAGGGGAAAGAAAAATACAGAAAAACGTTAAATTTTTTTTTTTTTTTTTTTTTTTTGGTTGTAGGAAATGAACCTATTGGTAGAGGCGGATGAACCAGGAAACCAGTTAGATGGGTATGTGACGAAATTGAACACAATTTTAGCTCAGAAGGCTTCATCCATTTTACAATTACAAAACCGTTTGGCTCATTTTCAAAGGCGACTTAGGGAGCATGATGTTCTAGTCTCTTCTGGTCAGTAATAATATAAGGTATGATGATGTTTGTATTTGGGCTATTATTTGTGGTTTAGCTGATTTATATGGGTGTATTTGGGTTGCAAGTTGTTCTTCACAATCACAATGATTGTTGTTACCATTGGTTATGGTGAAATCTTGTGATTCATTATTGTTTCATGTCTTGTAAAGCTGTGATGCTTTCTTTGTAAACTCATGATATGAATGATTCATTTTCATTTTTTTTTTTTTTTTTTTGAAATTACTAATGTCTTGTACAACTGTCCCCCGTTACTATCTTTCGCTAAAAAGGTACCATCACAAAAAAATTTGATGCCGGAAAAAAGATTAAACATTACTATAATCGTCATAACCACCTGAATTTTTGAATGCTTTTACCCATTTTCGATAGGACCAAGACTATCCCTTAGATTAGTTGAAAAGTTATAAAAGTTAAATGTATGGAAATATAGCTGATAAAGTTGTTGAAATATGTAAAATGATACAAAAGGGCATGTAGGAGAGTAAGTTTTTTTATAATTAATAAAGAGTATATTTGGGAATCGGAAGAATTTAGAAAAAGCTTGATAAGCTTGTTAAGTGCTAGTCGAGTAGCATTTTAAAACCCTAGTTTATAAGCAATTTTTTGGTTTGTTAAAAAATATAACTTAAAAAAGCTTGAAAAAGCTAGTTATGGTGTGTAATGTTAGTGTATATTTATTTGTGTATTTTATGTAAAGCCCACTTTGATTATTTCCTGTAAACCCATATGTAAACATATTTATATTCGATTAATGAGATAAGATATGCATAGGAAAATACTCTGCGTACATGGTATCAAAGCAAATCCTAATATCTTGTTCTCACCTCTAAGGCGTCGACAACCTTCCTCGTTGGCTTTTCGATCTTTCTACTTCTCATATCTCATCTATTTCTCAGTCTTTCTTCTTCTATTCTATCATGACAGGAGGTGATGCCCCTAAAGCCACACCACTTACAGAAAAACCGTATGGGATTGCTAACATTCGTGCTTCAATCCTAGTCATCCTTGATCTAGAACGAATGAATTATGACTCGTGGAGAGAGCTGTTCGAAACTCACTGTTATTGTTTTGGCATGGCTAACCATCTCAAAGAAAAGCCTGATCCCAAACCATTCGGCTTGGAAGAATGGAAACGTATTGACAACATTGTTAAGATGTGGATCTATGATACTCTCTCCCCTTCTTTACTCCAGATGTCATCCAAGCGAAAGCCAAATGCAATACGATATTGAGCTTCGAAACATTGCTATGGGAACATCCATTGTTACTGAATACTGCACCACAATTCAAACGCTTGATGATCTACTTGAAAACTTGGAAGCAGAAGTTCCAGAGAAAAACATTGTGATCTACACAATAAATGGATTCTTTCCTAAGTTTGATCATGTTGCTAGTCTAATTCGCCATCAAAAACCTCTACCCTCATTCTCTGATACTTGGGCCATGTTACAAGTTGAAGAGCAAATAATTCAGTAGAATGATCAACGAAACCAAGGCCACATTCACTCTGACAATTCTTCCTCGCCATTTGCTCTTGTCACCGGACCTGCTCCTAAATCGAATCTCACTCGTGGGAATAATCATGGTGGTCGTGGGGGACGTGGTGGAAGAGGACTCTGTGGTGGCAGAATTGGCAACAGAGGCGGTCACAATGGGGGAAATTTCGGCTTCAATCACTTCAGCCATCAACAACAACCTCCAGCGGGGTGGGGTTTCGACTAGTATCCACTCGTCGGATCAGTGGGTTCATCGACAACACAACAGCATGCAGACCTGCTTCTGATACCCCCTACTCAGCAATCATAAACCCATCTGAACTCATAACCCAATAATTCTCAGTAGCTTCGTCAATTTAGACAGGCCCAATTTCTTCAGCAGGCTTTTGCAACATCAACTTCTCAGCCTACTCCCCCTTGGTCTTGGCTCGGTCCTCCGGGTCAGCAACAATCTCAAGCCACAACTATTCTAGAATTATTCAACACGATGTCGTTGAATGATTGTTAGATGCCATTTTATGCATCTTTTAAGTTAGTCTTTATTATCATTTAGCATCATATTTTGTACATTTGCATGTTATTTGTTTAAATAATGTTTAGCTCATGAATTTTACCAAAATTCCCATACTGCTAACATTTTTGTGTTATTTTCATATATTTTGAGTGAAGTGGTACTTTGGGAGCAGTTGAATGCATATTTGGAGCTTAAATGGAGCTGGAACTGAAGAAGGATGCTAAGGTATAACAAGGAATGCTTAAACTGAAAAATCACGTCCGAAACGAGCCAAGAACCCATTTCTGCGATCATATTTTTGCCACAAAGTTTCCCAAGGACGAAATAAGTCATCCGGAGGCCATTTGAGCATAAAAGACCAAATATATGATCGCATATAGTCAACCTGCGATCACATTTTCTTCCCGCAGCTCCAGAAATTTCAAATTTGGCTTCGTACTTCATTCAGATGCAATCCTGGAAAAAATTCAATAACCTGCGATCGCGTATAGCTAACCTATGATCACATGTTTGTCCAAAAGCCCCACAAAAGCAATGTACGTCATTATATCGGCCCGGTACGCGTTTTTATGAAAATATGTGATCGCATATAACCAACCTACGATCGCATTTCTCGGTTTCTTTCTCCGGAAGTTTCCGTCTTGCATATAAATACGATCCTCATTATCATTTATGGGGTTAGACGATTCCAAACGACAAAATACCCTTCTGAAGACGATTTTTGATACCTTTCAGTGATTTTTGGAGATCTGAAGACTGCGAATCATCTCATTCATTTAGTTTATCCAGATTATTCAGTAAATGTTTTTCTTTATTAGTTTAGTTTCGTTTTTAGCCATGTCTGGCTAAAACCTAGTTTGCAGTTCTGCATTTGACTAGTACTTTTCATGTGATAAGTTACCAGATCTGATTTTTGTTGTGTTTCTATCTAGATTTTTTCCGTTTTGAACTTAATGAATGTTTGATTTTAATTCTTGCTAGTTTGATCACCTAGCTAGGGTTTTATCATTCCATTTAATTAGTTAATAGAATCCGTAATTGTTTTTGTCAACTGGTAAAAGTTAACAAGTATCAGGTTGGTTCCGAGTTGGGATTTAACTTTGGTATAAACTGTAAAAATCATATATTTATGCTTCCGAGCTTGTGAGAAGTATTGGGTATTGTTGAGAATTTTACATAAATCATAAAATTACTTTTATGATTTAATTAAGAGCTTGTTTAATTGAATAGTAAAAAGTTAGGGTTAACTGAAGAGCTTGTTTGGTTAACTAATTTAGGTAAAATAGATTGTACTAGAGCTTGTTAGTTTTTCTCAGTACCAGCTTAGATAGAACACACTCAAATAACCAGATCTGAACTGATTTCATGATTAGGAAAGTTGCAGCAGAGCTGAAATCATTTTTATTATTGATTTTTGTTTAGTTTATTTTCACTGCAACTTCAGTTTTTAGTTTAATTTAAAATCCCCCTTTTATAATTTATGTTTTGACTAGAATGTGCGTGATGCAAAAATGCATTGACTTTTAGGCTGTGTCCTTGAGGATTCGACTTTGCTTCCCTGTATTTTTAGTACTACCAACAATGATTATTTTTTTTGTTTAATATGCCCATGACAACGTGTTAACAATGATCCCGCCAATCACAGTTAGTAGATGGACACCGAAGCCACTTCTCATCTTCATGCTCAACCAGGTATCCTTAAAAAATTAAGCAACCTTGTTCCTTGCTCTTATGTTATTGTTAGTGATGGATCCAAAATAGTTGTAAGTAATATGGTCGACACTGATCTTTCTTTTACAAACCCGTATCGCCCCCTTTCATTGAAAAATGTTCTCATTACCCCTAATATAATTAAGAATATTATCTTTGTGCTTCGGTTTACTAATAACAATTCGTGTAGCATTGAATTTGATCCTTATGGTTTTTCTATGAAGGATCTTCAGATCAAGACAACTCTTCTTTGATGTGACAGCACTGACGATCTTTACCCTGTCACTTCATCAATTCCTCAAGCCTTATTGTCTAGCAGGTAGAATATGTTCCATCAACATCTTGGTCATTCCTGGTCGTCCAGTTTTTAATTATCTAGTTTCCAATCATTTGCTTACATGTAAAAAACATTAAATCTTCTATTGTGTGTCATGCATGTCAACTTGGAAAGCATACTCATTTACCTTTTCGTTTATGTGATTATGTTTCTTATAATCCGTTTGACTTAATGCATTCTAATGTTTGGACTTTTCCTATTACTAATACCAGTGGCATTAAATATTATGTTATTTTTCTTGATAACTTCTCGTAGTTTTTGTGTGGGTATATCAGTTGCGACATAAATCTGATGTTTTTACTAAATTTGTCCACTTTCGCCAATATGTTAAAACCCAGTTTCATACAGAGATTCAAGCCTTTCAATGTGATAATGGGTGGGGGAATACAATGGTAACAAATTTCATCACCTTTGCAATGAAAATGGCATTCACATTCGTTTTTTGTGCCCTTACACCTCTCAACAAAATGACAAATCCGAGCGAATGGTAAGGACCATAAACGATATGATTCACACTTTATTGTTTCATGCTCATCTCCCACCAATGTTTTGGGTGGAAACTCTTTATATGGCTGCCCATCTCTTGAACATTCTTCCCTTCACTACACTTAAAATGACACACCCTTTTTTAAATTATTCTCATATTCGAGTGTTTGGTTGTTTATGTTATCCCCATAACCCCACTTCTCACAAACTTGCACAAAAATCCATACCTTATATTTTTTTGGGTTATCCCTCTCAACATCGGGGTTTTCGGTGTCTAAACCTTGAAAATCAGCAAATTATTATATCCCGACATGTTATCTTTGATGAGTTGGTTTTCCCGTATGGACCTACGACAACACACAACTCCCCCTCATATGACTTTCTTGATGATCAAAATGCCACAGCATCCTTTTTTCGCCAAATGCCTGTCACACCCCCTACAACAATTGACATGTCATTTTTGGAACCCACCACTCATGTGCATACCGACGCACCACATAATCCCGCTGCCTCTTCCAACTCGACAATGTCTCCCTCTCCAAACTCATCTTTTGTCACAACTGGCAAAAATTAGGTTAAGATGTGAATTCCTAAACAATATAATCTCCTTGTAAAAGCCCAAAAACTCGATCCAGTAAGCCAAATCCAATCAAGTTTGGGCCTTAGCCCAAAAATCCTCAACCCAAAACCTTTATTGGATCAAGACTTCTTTATTGGGCCCTAGTGGGCCGATAACTTCTTCACTTAGTCTCTTTGGGCCGAAAACCTCTCATTGGGCCCTAATTGGGCCGAAATCTTTTATTAAACATTATTGGGCTGAAAACTCCTTGAGCCAAGTCAAGTTCGAAGCCCTCCATCCATCTTGGGCCATCATGTGGGCCAAGAACCCCTTTGATTCGGTTATCCCATTTAATAAAAAAAAAAGAAAAAAGAAAAAAGAAATGGTCGTTTATAAATGTAACACCTCATATTTACACCACATGTATCCATGCCAATTACCTTTCCTACATCTATAATGGAGTATTAACCACCAAATATCAAGACAATAATCTATTTCTTCTCTCTTAAAATTCATCCAAACCACCCCTCCATCACCACTCTCATTTCAAAGTTGCATACAACTCATTTTTCCTCTCAAATCTCCAGCATTTCTCTCATCCTTTTTCCTCCAAAAATTTCGTGAGGGTGCTAGAGTGTTCTAGAGGGTTTCTTCAATTTCATCCCTTGGTAAGCCCATGCTTGATCCAAGTGATTTTGCTTCATATATATGCTTAGAACTTTAAATTTACACATTTTGTTGTATGTAAAACCCTTTGAAACACCACCATTTTCAAGAATCTCACCACGAACTCAAGTTAGGTTCAAAGTTTCATCATCTTCTTCGTATACATCTTGAAAACCCCAAGGAGAGCTTCATACCCCCATATCTTTCGTATTTTTAATGTTTTCGGGGGAGGATACAAGTCAACTCTCGTTTAACCGTTGGATATTTGCATGTACCATTGTGTTATGTGTTTAACTTGTAGATCTTTACTTGAACATGAAGTTTATCACTAACATCTTCATAAAAACCATGAGAAAAGTATGTTTTTGCTTATATATTACATGTAAACTTGTAGATATGAGATTATACACCCTAAATAGCAAAAACAAGTATTGTGTTCAAACATCTATAACCTAAACTCAAAA